TCCACAAGCCAAGAACCGTTAAGATGCTGGGGCCATGATGTGGACAGATCATGGCCTTCTGCTCTCAGGGAACACCTGATAGCACGAGGGAAAAAGAAGTGCAAACATATAATTGAAATACAATTGATATGCTTATAATCAAGGTATAAACCAACTGCTATGACAGGACGGCTCAAAGAGCAACCACTTTCCGGGAGGGTCAACTCACTCTTCAGGGGAGGGAGATATTCGAGCTGCAGGTCAAAGGGGTTTCCCATCCACAGAATCACTTTCATTGAAAAAAGAAGAAGTATTGGAAATTGGTTTTATTTCAGTTGATAAATGTATGGATATATAAATGGGGTCAATATATAGCACACTATAGAACCATAAATTATAGGTGAGAAATGTCACAAACAAGATAGTTTCTGTTACCTAAATTTTATATTTAGTAGAAAATCATATAGCCTAAATATTTAGAAGGCTTATTTAACTTTCCCAAACCAAAGCTGTGTGCTTCCTAGGAGCGTTAATCATTCACAAACATGGGTTACTAATACACAGTAGATGCCTGTTTCTTCAGAATCCAAATTGAAGAGTTCAAAAAAGAGCCATTAAAAACACATTCTACAGTTTCTTTAATGGAAAATATTTACCAGCTAAGATTAATTATTAAAATTAAAATCCTCATGGCCTGTCATAGGATCAGGACAATACCACATTAACATTAAAAATCATGGCATTTTGAAAGGACTTAAGAAAGATTAAAATGAGGTTAAGTTTACTAGACTGCTAGTGCTAAATATATTTGACTAAATGGAAATTCCATGAAAACTTACCACTTTAGTGTTTTATATATATTTTATAAATAAACATACTAAGTACCCCCCAATCTGTTTTACCCACATTCTCCTCGATCTTAGGTGAAGAAGACTCAGTTCTAGTTTTTTGGGTCACAAATGTGTACTCTACTCTCTGTCTTGCACTCCTTACTTACTTTATTTATTTTCCAACGGGGAAATTACCTTCTAGTACTGAGTAATTTACATACTTATCATTTATTGTCTGTCTCCCCCTGGTAGAATGTCATCCTCACAAGGCTAGGCTTGGGTCCCTTTTCTTCACTGTCCTTCTCTAAGACCACTGCTGGCACAGAGGAAGTGTTCACTAAATATTCGATGAGCCTGAGTAGCTTACTGTCGTCTTACTCACTCTTTCTGCTCCTTCTCCCTCCAAGTTCCTCTTGAACCCACACCAGTTATGGGACCTCCCTCTCTGGTTTCTCCTAGCTTACTGGTCACATCTGCTTGGACTCCTTTGACAATTATTTTTCCTCTTTACACTTAGAAGCAGACCATTGGAATGCCACAAAAATCATCCCTTATACGTCCTCCCTCTCTATCCTCCTCACTCCCTGAGTGACCTCAACCTGTCCCAAGGCGGAAAACACCAACTCTATGCTGTAAACTCTCTAATTTATACCTCTAGCTTAAATCTTTGCCTTCATAGCCAGAAATGTGTCAAACTACCCACTTCTTTTCACATGGGTGTCTAATAAGCACCTCATTCCTAATATGCCCCGAGTTGAACTCCTAACTTTTTCCTAAGATAAGCATATCCTGCATTTTCACTCACTTTAGTTAGTAGAAACTTGTGCTCCCAATTGCCTAAGCCAAAAACCCTTGAACAATCTTTCATGTCTCGCTTTTTTTCACACCTCATGTCTATTGGTATATCTTCCAAATGTGCCTAGCATCTGACCATCTCCAGCTCTACCACCTTGAATCAAGCCTCCATTCTCTCTAGCCTGAATTATTGCCTTCTAATTGTCTTTACATTATTTCCAACCTGCAGCAAGGTGACTCTTCTAAAAGATAAATCAGATCACATGATCCCTCTATTCAAAACCCCCAGTGTCGTCTAGTCTCTATCAGCGTTACATCCCCAAAGTCAGTACCATGATCCATGAGGCCCTAAGTGTTCCAGGCCCCCAGTATCTCTCAGTTCTCCAAGCCTAGTACTTCTCTTCTCTTTCTAGTTACGCTGTCCTTCTTGCTGTTCCTCAGGCACACCTGACACATTTCTACCTCAGGGCCTTTGTACATACTGTTTCTGTCATGCTTTTCTGTCAGATATATCCAGGGCTTGCTCCCTCAATTTCTTCAAGTCTCTTCTCAAATATCACGTCATCTGGGAATTCCTCTCCTATAACTCAATATAAAAATAGCACCCTCAGCACTCTCCATCCCCTTTTATCATTCTGTAGCTTTTATAGTTTTTATACCACTTAGCTTTGTTATATTTATTTATTTGTTTAATCTGTCAGTGTACAAATAACCTCTTTGAAAGCTAGGAATTTTTCAATTTCATCCACAGAAAAGTGACTGGCATAAGCAGAAATAGTTTTTAATAACTTAACATTATTTTCTGAAACTACTTTTATTTAAAGAGAATTTATTCCTTCCTGGGGAATAAATGCCGTCAAAAATAGGACATTATCCCTACCTCACGCCACATGTCTAAATTTACTCAAAATGGATCGAAGACCTAAATGGAAGAAAACAGGGGTAAATCTTTGTGACCTTGGATTTGGCAATGGTTTCCAATATATGGCACCAAACTCACAAGCAACGAAAGAAAAAATAGATAAATTGCACTTCATAAAGATTTAAAACGTTTGTGCTTCCAAAGACACCATCAAGATAGCAAAAAGTCGACACACTGAGCGGAAGAAAATATTTTCAAATTATATATCTGACAAGAGACACATATCTATAATATATATAAAAAATTAAGAATTCTTACAACAATAACTAAAAGGAAAATAACAATACCAAAAAGATCTGAATGGACATTTTTCTAAAGAAAATATGTAAATGACCAATAAACACATGAAAAGATGTTCAACATCATTAGTTATCAGGGAAATGCAAATCAAGACGACAATGAGATACCATTTCACATCCACTTAGCATGGCTATAAGGAAAATGACAAGCATTGGAGAAGATGTAGAGAAATTGAAACATTTGTACACTATAGATGGGAATGTAAAATGATGCAGCAACTTTGGAAAATAGTCTGACAGTTCCTCAAAAACCCAAACAGAATTACCATATAACCTAGCAACTCCACTCCAAGGTACATACCCCCAAAAAATGAAAATCTGTGTTCACACAAAAACTTAGGTGAATTTTAATAGCAGCATTATTCATAACAGCAAAAAAATGGAAGCAACACAAATGTCCATCAGCTGACGAATGGATAAGCAAAATCCATTTAATGAAATACTATTCAGCAACAAAAAGTAGTATTGATACATGCTACAACATTATGCATTATGCATAAAAACATTATGTTAAGTGAAAGAAGCCAGTCACGAAAGACCACATGTTGTGTGATTCTATCTTGATGAAAAGTCCCGGAGAGGTAAATCTGTAGAGACAGAAAGAATATTAGTGGTTGTCTAGGTCTAGGGAGAATAGGAAGATTGGGGGGTGACTCTAATAGGAGTATACAGTTTCTTTTTGGGGTGATGAAAATGTTCTAAAATTAATCGTAATGATGGTTGCACAACCCTGTGAAAGTCAAAATACCTGTGTCGTTAGTTTCCTTGCTTATTGCCTTTCTTCCTCAGAATGTGTGTTTTATGAGAGTAGGTACTTTGGCCTGCCTGTTCACTGCTGTTCCCATAAGGCCTAGAAGAGTGTCAGGCATATACTAGACTCTCAATAAACAAATGTTGAATGCACTATAGCTATAGCATTGTTATAAAGACTAGAAAACAGTGATTGTACGCATAGCATAAAGCAGGTGCCTGGCATATGTACGCATGGCAGGAGCAGTATTTGGATTTTTCTTGAACAGAACAAATATTTTAGATTGAATAATTATATTCATTTGAAAAAATAGTTTTTAAGAGATTCCTTTGATAACCAACCAAGAGTTTACTGCATTATTAAATGTTTTAATGAAGTGTCCTCTCATAGAAATTGTTTCATCTAAACACACTGGAGTCTCATCTTAATTTTAACTTTGCTAATTAAGTTATACAAGAAGATATGCAGAAGGGATTTCAATGAAGACCAACAGCAGTTCCTGCTTGCTATACAATATACATTTGATTCTTCTGACACTTTTTAATGACTTTGTAGATAACCAGCCAAATCATACTGATTATATAACCCAGTGTTAATAATTATCTTCCTGAATTTATAGTCAATTTTCTAAGGAATCTAACTATCAGAGAAACATCTGTTTGTCCCTCTTCTGTGATTTGTTTCTTGCTTTTAATTTCACTACTGAAACCAAAATGCCATTTAAACTACTTTTTAATTCAAAATTCGACGTTGCTCATGCAATGGAATATTGGGCTCTCTCTTACCTAATGTAATGCTACAAAGCTATTTACAGATGCTGCAGTGTCTGAAATATGTAAAAAGGGTTATTCCCAGGCAGCTACCTGGAAAAAAAATTCTAAAATAGCTGGTAAAGTTTGGAAATTGATCACAAAGTCAAAATACAAATATATACTTACCACCTAAAATATCCCACTCAGGCCTTTATTGAGTTCAAGATTTTTTAAAAAAAATATGAATTTCCCAGTAATCCCCAAATTCAAGTCACTTGCATCACATTTGCTTATTTTACAGCAAATATTTGCACTGCCCCATTTTGTTCCAGGCAAGAGTAAATTTCTTCCTATTCCTCCAAGAAAGGGTAGTTTAAAAATTATATGTATGATTATCACCCCAAAGAGAAACTACATTAAACTCTATCTAATTGCTGTTCAACAAAGCATCATTAATTGTTGGCAGTAACAGGGACACGTATTAAAAAATATTGTGCAGATGTGGCAAGGCTTTTTTAAAAGCACCTGTTTTTCTTTGTTAAATGTATAATAATTGAGAGTGACACCATCAAAAACACTTTCATGGCTTAGAGGTAATATAAAACTGACTATTTCAAATAAAATGGCTGTGGGAAAAACAAGTTGTGTTTTGGTTTTCTCCTCTCTCTCTAGGGCTGTCCTGGTAAAGGAAATATTTTCACCTGGCCTTTGGGAAGTGGAGGTCTGGCCCGTGATCCCTGGGGAGCCTGCAGTTGCATGAATAGTGTGGACACATTGGTGATGGTGCTCCCATTACCTCCAGCGGATAAGCTCTACTCCAACCCGCACTCATCAACAATGACTGGGTTCTCCTGGAAAGATCTGGAGAGAAACTTGAGAAGGAAGGAGGAAGCATAAAACAGAACTGAATATTAATCTACACCAAAATATTTAAAATATTAAATATTTAAAATATTAACGTAACAACTAGCATGAGAATTCCAGGTCCTTTTAGGAGTCTCTCATGTTCAACCATCATCTTCCAATTTAGGCCGGACTCAGAAGAGGACTGGAGAAACTCCAATTCAAAGCCCTGAATCTTCATAAATTCCAGAAATGGAAGAGAGAGAATAAAACATAGAACCACTAGTCCTCCTCCTCAACTTCACAAAACACCGCGTGTTCCTTGTGGGCAAAAGAGAGCTATATTCTAATTTTTAAGCTTTCGGGAGGAAGTGTGTCTTTAGAATGTTAATAATCATTATCATCCTCTATCTACTGCACCTTTGCTCTTTTGCTTAGGATTGCATTTGACACTTACTTAATTTGAAGGTGTTTATGAAGTCACAGCCAGGCATCTTTCCTTTAGGTTTGATAATATTTTACAACCAAACTCTGTCCCTTTTGCTTAAAGCCCAGAACGCTCCGAAGGCCTAGGAAGACTTCACTTCACATCTTTCTTGCAACATTTTGAATATTTCTTTTACCTTTTTCTAATAACGTTTACACCTACATTCCAAATCTTAAAAGGAAGGCATTTTTAACCCTATATTTGTTTTCCTTTTCCATCGTGGGCACCTTAAAACCTTGACTCTTTCCTCTGTCTCCGTGGTCCTGCAAGGAGGGCGGTGACTTGAGCCGACCGACCTTGACCACCCGAGCTTTCCCAGCTGTCAGATGGATGCCCTCACCTAGCCCCAGGAACCTTGGCTGCTCCGATCCTTGCATGTGCCGCCTGCCCTGCGCCTTCTCCAGGCGGTTGCCTTATCTTCTACCATGGACACTGCTCTCTTCCACCTCAGGAAATACTGTCATGCATTTTGTTCATTTTTCATTTCCTTTGTACGTGCTTTTCATCACTTTTTCCATGGTGCCTGCAACTAAGTGAGAAGAGTTAAATTAGAACAACAACAAAAAATGAAATTGGAAAGAGAATTACTTCTTCCTTCAATTCGTAGGAATTGAACATCAAAATAGCAGGGATTTCAGAAGGAAAAGAAATTAATCTGATGGAATGCCTCGGTGTCAGGGGTGTGCCGTGGGCAGGAGGAGGCGAGACAGATTCCTCTGCCTTCTGGTCTTCACGGCACAGTTATTCAAATTCTAGTGACACGGATGTGCTCACCTGGACGGTTTGTTTCTTCAATCATCAAAATCATACAATTTCCCTCTTTAACCATAAAAAGGACTTTATAGTCACAAATTTCTTTATCTCTGGGAGTAATGTGGCTCTACCAACATTTTGAAATTATTAGATCTATTTCTGTTTTTTATTTTCAATGTGTTTGTGTGATTTTGTTTCATGTAAGAAAATGTAACTACACCTTTTCTAAAAAGTTCACTCTGCTAGTGCCAGTCTTGTAATAAATATGTTTAATCTCCTAACATTTATTGCAATTACTGATATATTTGGAACTAGTTTTACTGCAATTTTTTCTCATTGCACCTTCTTTCCTTTACTTCTAATCCTGAATTCTGTTTATTTGATGAAGTTTTCTATATTCCTTTTCTTCATATACCTCAGAAAATTAACAGTAAATTTTTTAGCAAGAGCTATGGTTATTTGGTGTCTCTATTCTCCTTCTGAAAAAGACAATGGCCTTAGCTCACACCATGCACCGACCAGCACCCACTTACTCCTCGGTCCCCCTCATCTCTACCTCCCTCGGCATCCCTAACTCTGTGTTTGTGTCTCTCCTCACCTCCTCTGTCCTATCATTGTTGTTTAGTAAAGTTTAGTTTTATCTTTAAAAACAAAATTGAATTATCAATTTTACTACTATTTTCCCATCTTACTCCTCTCCATATATTTATTTTTTTCTTGCTCAAGCACGTCATCAGGAATTTTTTTTCAATGACGTCCATAAGTAGGAAACTCTCCCTGTATTTCCGAATTAAAAAAAAATTCTCCTTAATAAGTAATAAGTTAGCTGCATATAGAATTCAATGTTGGTGGCATTGAAGACGGTCATCCATCATCTTCTGGTGTCATTTAGTGCCAATGAGAAGTCTGCTGTCAAAAACTTATGTGTAGCCTGTCTTTTCTTTCTGGTGGGCTCTGTTATATTGTGCTGTTACACTATGATGTATGTAAATATAGATTTCTTTTCTCTTTCTTTTCTGTTTTTGGTTCTTTATTTGAAAGGCACTTTTACTCTAAGATCATATATCTTTACTCAATGTTGGAAAATTTTCCAGCCATCATTTCATCTAATGTTACTTCACCATCCCTTCTATTTCTTTTTCCTGAAGGCCTCTTAGACCTATCTCAGAACTTTTTGACCTATCCTCCGTAAGTTTATAAGCTTACATTTATGTACATATACTTCTTCACAATATATTTTTATTGAGATACAACTGACACATAACATGGTATTCGTTTCTAGCGTACAACATAATGATTTGATGTAAGATATATTGTGAAATGGTCACCACAGTAAGTTTAGTTAACATCCATCACCACACATAGTTACAATTTTTTTCTTGTGATGAGAACTTTGAAGATCTACTCCCTTAGCATCTTTCAAATATACAGTACAGTATCGTTAACAGCCACCCTGCCGTACGTTACACCTCCAGGACTTATCTTATAACTGGAAGTTTGTATCTTTTGATATATAGATTTATAACTTTTGAAAATAGATACCTAGAAAGAATATCTATCTGTTTCTCCCCGGAAAGAGAGAGAGAGAGAAAGAGATTCTGGGTGAAATCCTCAGTACTATCTCTCAATTTTCTAATTCTTCTATGAATGTATCCAGTGTAGAATTCATCAATTTTGTGCTTTATATGAATTACTAAATTACTATTTTCTTATTTACAAGATTTCCAACTTATTTTACATAACTACTTTTTAACTCCTATCTCCTGTGATTTATTATTCTTATTATAGGTGTTGTTCCTTCATTTATCTCATTGATGATGAGTAAACATCTATGAGTAAACACCCATCTTCAGAACTGTCCTGCTGTTTTGATTTTGTCTATAGTGCATTCATATTTGCGTTTTGTCCTTTTGGCTCTCTTTCTCAACACTAGAGTTCTTCAATACACTTCAAAATGTTGATTTGTAGGCTCATCTGCGAAATGTTTAATTTTACTGTGTGCATTTCTCTCTCTTTCTGTGCTCATCTCTCACGAGAGCCCTTTTTCAGCACTCTGCTTCACATCCCTAGGGACGTGACTCTAGAACCTTTTTTACAGTGGTCACAGTGGCCTCTTGCTTTGCGGTGACGTTGAGAACAAAACATATATTCAGGGACTGGCTTGTCTTGGTTCCTAAAAATGGAGTGGTGTCTGTGTCTTCCTCCTTTCCAGACACAGATTCACAGAGGCCATAGTCCCTAAGAGCAGTAGGTGGCAGGTTTTTCCAGTCTTCTTTCACCACCCTGGGAGCTCTACTCCAGATCTCTTTTTCAAACAATAATCTCAATTTCCTGTCCCCAACTTGTTTGGGCTCTGTTACTCACCATAGCAAAATTTCTTGCATTCCTAAATGCTTCCAGACCTGAAGCCCAACAGGTATCCCCATCGGCCTCAGCACTTCGCATTTACTTCTCTCCACTGGTCTGCTGAGAGCCTGAGCTTGTTATTGCAGAATCTCCTCTTTCTGTGTGTTTTCCTCCCAGTGATAGAAATGCATTGGGGTGGTTTCAGTGGCATGGGGGTCGAGAGCTGCAACTCTGGAGTCTGTCTTCTTGGGATCAAATCTCAGCTTAACCACATGCCCAGCCTGTGGACACTTGAGCAAATTACTCAGTCTCTCTGTCTCACTTTCCTCCTCTATAAGATGGGAATGTTTATTGCTACAAGGAATAAATGAGATGACATACAAAGCAATGAAACACAGTGAGTAGTCATGACATGCTAGCTGTGATATTACGAACACAATTAGGCCATAGTCTTGACAAGGAAGTGTGAAATTACAGACTTTTAAAGAAAAGTTTGTTATAGAAAGCACAAAAGAAAATGACTACCAGAGAAAACAGTGCTAATTTTCTATATTTATTCCTTCATTATTTTTCTAATGCATGCATACATATATAATTTTTATAGAATGTTGTCATTCTATAGATATTTTTTATAATAATCTGATTTTGTTGCTTAACACTATATTATGAGCTTGTTGCTGTGTGAATAATATTCCCTAATAAGACTAAAATAGCTGTGCTCACTAATATCAATAACACTGTGCTGAATATTTTTGGTCATACAAATCAGAACATTTCAGGGAATATTCTTTTGAAAAGTGACATAACAGAATCTGTTCCAAGACTTATGAAACATACTGACAAATTATTTTACAAAAAACTTTTCACATTATAACTCTATCCAAATGTAGGAGTGCCATGTATATTTTTAATGTAGACAGATTTAATTGGCACTAGCTGCTTATAACATTTTAGAGCAACATCAAGTCTACTTTTCTGTCCAGTGAATCTAAGTTGAGCTATCTTGTTCTACTGACAACTTACATTTCTGCTTCTAAGATTTCTATACTGAAATCCCAACTTCAAACCATCATAACTTTATTTATAGAAGTATTAAAAATGCTTTAGTGAATTAGTCTGAATATTATAATCTTCACTCTGTAAAAAATATAAAACCTGATTTTCAGAAGCTGAACCATGTATTTTAATTTAATTCCTTTTTTTTTTCAGATAAGATATTCTGCAAGATGTCACACTTTTGAAACTTGAGACTTGTTTTATGGTCCAGCATATGAGCAACTTTGATGAACGTTCTATGGGCACTTGAAAAGACCATGTATTCTGCAGGTGTTGAGAACTGTGTTCTATAAATGTTAGTTAGGTCAAGGTGTTGATGATGTCATTCACATCTTCTACATCTTTGCTGATTTTTCTAATCCTAGAAACAACTGATTTTCCTGGTTGTTCTTTCATGTTCTGAGAAAGGATTATTAAATTTTCCATTGTGATTATGATTATCTATTTCTCGTTTTAGTTCTGAAAGTTTTCATTTTGAAACTCTGTAATTAGGTATATCATAATTATTATGTATATATTATTAACATATACATTAACAATCAGGTAGATAATAATAATTAAGTACATAATATAATCATGTCATGCGGATGTACTGACCTTCTTACTGTGGTGAAATGTCTCTGTACCTCTGCCAATACTTATTTTCTTACAGTCTACTTTGGTCTTAATATAGGCATGCCACCTTTCTTTTTTTTTTAAAGATTGGAACCTGAGCTAACATCTATTGCCAATCCTTCTTTTTCTTCTTCTCCACAAAGCCCCCCAGCACATAGTTGTATACTCTAGTTGTAGGTCCTTATGGTTGTGTTTTGTGGGATGCCACCTCAGCACGGCCTGATGAGTAGTGCCATGTCCGGGCCCAGGATCTCAACTGCATGCCAGCTTTCTTATGATCAGCATTTGCACAGCATATCTTTTTATGTTCTTTTAACTTTAAATCTGTTGGCGTTTTTGCATTTTAAGTATGTCTCTTGTAGAAAAAATATAGTTTGGTATTGCTTTTTAATCTAGTCTTACAATCTCTGCCTTTTAATTGTAGTATTTCATTCATTATATTTAATATAGTCATAGGTGCGGTTGTATTTAAGCCTGCCATTTTTCTATTTGTTTTAATAAAGCCCTCAACATAGTTATAATTTTTACTTTAAACAGTTCTAAGTATTTTAAATAAAGAAAAGAAATTTACATATGTAGTTTTTCATACGAACCCACATACTTGACTTTTCTAGTGATCTTCATTCCTTCATTTGTCATTTCCCTTTAACTTGAGGAATTTCCTCGAGCATTCCTTGTGATGCAGTTCTACTGGAAATGAATTCTCACAGCTTGTTTAATTTAAAGTGTTTAATTTCATCTTCAGTTTTGAAAAGTACTTTCACTGGACACAGAATCCTGAATGACATCGTTTTTTCATTCATCATTTTAAAGATGTGGTTCCTTTCTGTTGGGTTTGCTTTGTTTTGGTTTTTGGCCTTCATTTTTCCTGAGGAGAAGTCGGTCAATATTCGTATCATTTTTTCCCTTTGTTCTACATGCTCTTCTTCTCTGCCTGATTCCATCATTTTCTCTTTATCTTTGGATTTTGGCATTTTTACTACAGCGTGTCTAGGTTTGACTTTCCTTTTGTTTGTTCTTTGGATTTACTGAGATTATTGGATGCTGCACAAAATTTGGAAAGATTTTGCCCATTATTTCTTAAATTATATTTTCTGCCCCTTTCTGTTTGTCCTTTACTTCTGAGACTCTGATTACACATATGTTAGAATACTCGATACTGCCCCATGGGCCTCTGAGGCTCTCATCATTTTCTTTCACTCATTTTTCTCTCTATTCTTTAGATTAGATAATTTCCATTGATGTATCTTTAACTGACTTTTCCTTTAGCTATATTCAATCTTCTCTTAAATCCATGCAGTGATTTTATTTTCTCTGTTACTATACTTCACAATTCTAGAATTTCCATTTAGTGATTCTGTACAGTTTCTATTTCTCTGCTAAGACTCCACATACTTTAATTTAGTATATGTATATTTGCCTTTATATCTTTGATCATATTTATAATAGCTATTTTAAAAGCCTTGGTCTGCTAATTATAACATCTGAGCCACCTCAGGGTGTGTTTCCATTGACTGATTTTGTTTTCTTGATGTTGGTCAAATTTTCCTTTCACTGCACATTTAGTAATTTTTTTATTTTAATACTGCACATTAAGAATAATATGTTATTAAGGCTCTGAATTTTGTTACGTTCCTCTGAAGAGTGACTTTTGCAATAGCAGGCAGTTCATTTGGCTGGACTCAAACTGCAAACTCTGTCTCCTATGTGGTAGGTAGCAGCTAAAACCTCTTCTCAATTATCTCATTTTCCACTGCTGCTTTTTTGTTGTGCTCTCTAAGATCTCCCACTATATGCTGTTCGATAGAAATCTAAAGATCTGGAAAGAGTTTATACACACTTGGGGTTCACTTCTTTTGCAAATCTCACCTTTCTAGGATTTATCCCCTAACTTTCTGGCTGTTCAGCCAGCTCTCAAAACTGTCTCCTGACGCCTCAAGCCAAGAAGCCTATAGCTTTCTGCCACCAGAACCATACTCCAATTCGGGAGCAACCTCAGGCAAAAGGACACAAAATTCCGAATCTCACCTGTTGTAATCCTCCTTTCAAAGTCAGATCCTTGTCCTCTAAGTCTCTCAACAGTAACTGCAAGTTGTTTAGGGTTTTTTGAGGGTGTTTCCTTTTTGTTCTGATTTTACACCGTTATCCACAGGAGGGTTAATCTTATCAAACTATTTCACATTCCAAAACTATAAATTGCACTATGCACTTTAAAGGCTTTATTTCTGCAAACCATGGGTATGTTTGTATAATTCAAATAATCCACAACTTCAACTTCTACCATCTCTAAATATCTCAAATACCAGTAAATCTTGAGATCAACAAAAATAAAAGTAAAAACAAAAGCAAAACCCTGAGTTAGCACTATTGAAAACCAATAATCCTGCTTCGTATTTCTGCCCATAGTCTCAGAAACACGATGCCTAGGTAGCAGTTGATAGTAGCAGATCTATTTTTACTCTGAAGGGAAAAAAGGATAACTTCATAATTTAATTAAAATGTGAAATTTCTCCAATTTTCAAATTAAAAATTTAGTGCAGCTCTATCCAAAAGAACGTTCTCGAATGATGGAAATGCTTTTTCCATGACTTATATGGTAGCCACTAGGCAGAGATAGCTATATGTGTCCAATGTTACTAAAAAACTGAATTTTTTATTATACTTAATTTTAAATAATTTAAATTTAAGTAGCTACATATGGCTGATGCCTGCTACACTGGGCAGCACAGGTATAGCGCAAATGAAACAAACAAGAGATTGAAATCAACAGCAGGGAGAAGTCATTTTTGATGAGATAATAGAGATTATATTAATACGGTTTAATAAGTCAAAGAAAGAAAGAATTCAGAGACTTTATAATATAAAGACAATATTTCATTATTCTTCAATATACCATTTTTCCCCAAAACATTTCACAGCATTTATACGGCTGCTGTTTCTGAACTATATTTTTAGGAACAAGAAGCAAATGACAAGACAGAAAAATTATCAAATGAACTTATTAATAAAGTAAACATTTCATCACGTAGATTGTGTAATAATTATGGCCCCAAGTCAAGTTAAAACTGACCTGTAGTACACTTGATTTATTACTGTAAATTTGTATATAAGGAAGAGTCACATCTTACTTAGAGGTGAAAATTCAGGCTAAAGTAAAAAACAAGATGGTCTGAAGCACCCTTGAACAAGAATTCCTGTATATCTGCCATAAAATAAAGCATGGTATTCACTCAATAAATTCACTAAAGATCGTTTCTCCTCCCAGACTGGAATAGATCATTGTTTCCGAGGCTGAGCAACGGAGGGTGCAGTCATCTTGTATTTAGATGCCACACTGGGTGATAGCGTTTCCTGCATCTAGACTCCCAGAATCCCACTCAGAGAGGAGGGGTGTGCCTGCTCTGAGACACAGGACTGCGGCCATTTAAAGAACCAACATCCCAGGCCTCTCATGACACTGTCACCCCATGGCAGTGCTCATCGAGTGGAAGGAAGATAGGGGACATCGCTATGAACTGTTTCAACTCTCTCTCCTGTTTTCTCTTGCTCTCGCTCTCTCTCTCTGATAATTTCCCTCAGAAATTTATGTACTTGAATTTAAGCAAGCTAAGCATTCAGATGTGAAACTCCATTACAGTGTATTTGAGGAAATTATCAGTAAAAACGGATAGAAATCAAAGTTTGGGGCCCTAATTGTTTACGTTTCAGTTACCCAGAAAATCCAAACTGCCTCCTTCTTTCCCCATACTAGATAATTAAGGCTTGAGACTATTCTTGGATTCAGACGGAAAAGAGAGTAAGGATGTTAGATCGTCTCTGAGCACAAACAATTTCCATCCAGAAAGAGTGACCAATTGAAAGCATGTCCTGATTAAGGTGTTGGCACAAACTGTCTGCCATGCTTCTAGTCTTAGAGTGCATTTAATCTGACACATTTCCCCTCTCTGTGTGTGTCTCTTCTGGTTTCTATTGGAATTACCAGGGCTACCCAAGGAGTGCAGTTATGTCCATGCTATAGCAGAAAGCGATAGAAGCCTGGATCAGCATTAAACATCTGTTTCGGGAAGTCCTGATTTACAATAAAATATTTCCAAATATGTTAGGAAGACAGGACACAACTTATAATTTAATTATGCTTAACTCATTCTCAACAGCAATATCTGATACTTATTTTTAAAAGACTAGTGTATGAATACTTTTCTCTCCTTGACCACTTACCCTCTTGATTTTTCACTATGGACCTGATAGTGGTGGTACTAACAGTACCAAAATGTACGAAGTACTTTATACAACATATAAAGTCATGATCTTGGCCTTCAGAAAACCATCTTTACTCTTCATGTATGATTCCTTTTGAATCTCAAGTTGAACCCTCTACCAAAAGTACTTCTCTACATTGACTAGAACTGGTTTGTTGACTATACCAGTTGACAAGAAAAGCTGTGTTTTTATTTGAGGATGGGATGGTTTTTCATTTTGAATTATTGCTTGGTTTTCTTCCCATCCAATTCTGTTTTGAGCGACCTGTGCATGCAAATTGCCTTATTTATTACCCAAAGATCAAGGTCCTCCAGTTTGTGTGTTTTCTCCATTCCTTCAATGTTATTTGACTTATCCCCATAATTGATTTCATCTTTCAACTCTCTTTTTGTTTCTCCCTATTAGATTTTTTGCTTTTCCATCTCTCTAGAGTTAGATTGCCACTGTGCCAATTCAAAACATGTTGCTCTCATTTCTCCTGTTATCATCCATAGTCTGAGAACTGATATGTTTAGAAAATTGCTTTCTGCTGTTTACCTGCCTTCTTTCCACAAATACTCTGTGGTAGGACTTTTTCTCCCTTATAGTCAGAATACCGTGAATAAGTGGAGAAGACTCTTCTGGAATCAGAACTGTTCCTCTCACTAATCTTCTCTATAGAGTTTTCCTGCTCTGGGGAAATGCCAAGTTTCCTGTCCAGTTTGTTTGGGCCATCATTTGGCCCCCTGCTCTTGCACCCAGACTGAAGCTGTAGATGGGGTTGCCAAAGTCTCACATTAGTGTGGACCTTGCAATGGCTTTTGAATTATGTTAGATGTTTTTTGCGAAGTCAAGTATCCCCTTCTTAAGTCTTTCTTCTTTCTTCTTAAGTCTTTCTTCTTAAGAACTCAAAAGATATTATAGCATATTATTTTACGTGTTTCTACTTCTCTCACTGAGGAGAGAGTAATGATGATATGTACATGTAAATAATGTCCCACTGCAACTGAAAAATTTGTGATCATTTCTCTTCCGTGTTCCCCTTCTGCTAAAGACATCTTGTAAGATGATTTTGGCTAAAAGAGGCCACTAAAATTTGTCAATTGATCCAATGGGTATACCTTTGAATCGCTATCACAAGCCAGGCCGCTGAGGTAAAATGGCACGTGAACGCTGCATGACGTCATTCACAGGCATGTCACGGACTGGTGAACGGCATGAGAACTCCAGCATCAAAACCCACTGTCATTGCTTTGCAGTGAGCATCAAAGGATCAGAGTACAAGCCCACGAGGCACAGACAGTGCGTCTTAGAGGGTGTCCAGTGACCTGCACTCCCTCTCTAAGCAATCGAGTCGATGAGGATTCTAGGATCTTCATAAGAAAATCAGTTAGAAAAGAATCCCTCATCCTCCAATTCCACCAATAGCAGCACTGGTTAGGACCTTAGCATCTGTATGACAAAATGCAACCAAAACTCATATTTCTACCATCACAGTTGGTATTTCTGAGAATTACAGCTCAGCTAAATGACTTTTTATCTCCATAACCGCTGATCATTTACTTTACCTTCCAGAATTGGTTTCTCCGTAGAATTGCTATAAAAATTAAATGAGATAGTGCTTATGACAGGCCCAGACTAAAAGCTTGCTAAATGAGTATTGTTCCTGTAGATGCTGCTGCTAATAGTTTGTGACAGTAGTTTCATATCTACCATATAGCTGAAGGGATTATGTACCAAGGCCCAGAAGTTGACAAGTGCAGAATGACGATGGGCTTCTTACATCTTGTCACAAATAAGCCAGAAACACTTGGTGTTTTGCCTGGCAGGGCAGAGAGTTAAATTATGAAACTTGGCTGAGAGCCAGAAGGTGAGGATAGAGGTGGTGGGAGGAGGAGCAGAAGGCAGATTTTGCCAAGGGAAGCAGAATGCAAAGCTTGGGTTGGCAGTGGCAGAAGAGTTTCCTGGAGAGGATAGCATCCTGAACTGCAGTTGATACCTCTGCTTATATCCTGGTCCACTTCTCACCAATGCGTGAGTTCCAGGCCTATAGTCTACCTGGCGATCAGTGGCGCTCAGGCCCTCTCCCTTTGCTGTTTGAACCAAATGAAGAGGGGTGGACCTTTATTGGGGTGTGCCTGCATGTGGTAGAGGCTAAGAGGATTGGTGGTCTTCCACCGAGGCACTAAGATTACAGCAAATAGATTGTGATTAAATGATTCTAGGTGTTTCCATAGCTCCTAAGTTGAGGGCCTCCCAGATTCTGATGGCTGCCAGGTATCTGTATAACAGTCCCCAAGAAGGGGAAGATAGTATTATGCACACTGCGCAAACAGGGGCCATGCAAGAGAGGGGCATTCAACCACCGGCCTGTGGTCCTGCAATTAGTCCTCCACAGAGCCGAGTCTGGCCAAGGTCATGGCAGGCTCATCTTCTGAAGTTCCCCATGGTGACTACTGTCACCCTTTCAATTAAAACTTGAAATAGCTTTCACTAGGATATTGATAAGAAAAGCAATTGTCCAGGAGCCAATAAAAAAGTCAAGTCAAGAGGACGGTAAATATTTAAATGTAAGTCATATTTATATGTTTTAAACCAAGTAAGGTGCTAGCAAAGCATTTCTTGTTCTTTAATTCAGCAAAATGCCAGGAGGCCATAAAATACTGTATCTTGCAGTCTACTTTTCCTTAGATAAACAAAAAGCTCTTATTCTCCAAGTTTCCTTAGTCAAGAAGTAGAAGTGTCATGTCAATGAAGTTAACTGTTAAGAACAAAGTGTTTTAACTTCAAATTGTCATTCAGGAAAGAATTTTGAGTACTTCTTTTAAAAAATTGGCAGTTGTCATTTAATATATGATGTGATCTAAAGGCATATTATTTTTTAATGTTACCTAGGAGATTTCATCAGCTTCATGACATTCTTAATCTTTGGTATAATTGTCTAAATTGATAGAACATCTTTTATTAAACTGATAGAGACACATCCTGCACTTTCATAAGCCAGGTAAACAGGTGTGATTATTCAGGGTTCTGAGTTCTCACTTCCTTTGTCTCCCTTTTTTTTTCCAACTCTCCTAAAATTCTCTGATAATGATGAGTGACATTGTTTTAAAAGATAAGAAGCACCAAAATTATTTTCTCTCTGACCTTTATAGTTTCCAGAACAAGTAGTTTCTGTTAGCAAAATAGTTCAAGCTTTTCTTACAAAGGATACCTGGCATTGTTCCATAAGAGAAACATTTATTGTTCCTGATAAGGAAAGTTATTAAGCTCTCATCTTTTCTCAGAAAGCCATTCAACCAAAATAAAGTATTTTAGAACTGCTGAGGAAAAATCTGAAGGAAAGGACAGAAAATATTCCACAGGTTACATTTTCTGCGAGTACTCATGTACTCGCAGTACATCGATTGTGCCTTCTTAAAACAAATAAGACAGGTTTCAAGGATAATTCTTGGCAGCCTTTCAATACAAGCAGCACATTTACACAGCTAAAGTTTAATGTTTTAAAAGTAAGTTTTGTGAAAAGGATTATTGAGAGACTGGGAACAGAAAAATTACATAGGGTTAAGAATTCATATAGTATGTTAACTATGCTTAAACTACTGACAACAGGCTATTTCTTCGATTGAGGAGTTCAGATTCAGACGCCATCTCTGTCTAAACCTAAATCTGTGTGTTTGCATTAAAAGCGTCACCAGTGTTTGTTCAGAAAGGTAATGTGTGTTCAAAGGTTCACCCGCTACTGTCAGCTGCCGTCACCATTTTTTTCTGGGGTTTCAAAACAAACAAGTGTGATCTATGTATCCTTGCAGGTTGCATAGTCTATGAAAACAATAGGACACTGTTGTCATTAATTCTCAAGGAACCATGGACTAAATGGCTGTGAAGTCAAAGTTACAATAAAAAGCTCTTCCTTCTTACCAAAAAAGTGGGGGTTGCTTTTGCAGTGTTTCTGATTCAGCTGGAAGTACAGTGTATAGTCAGGGAAAAGGCACCAAGTGTATTAGAGCCACATAAAAGGAAGCATACATTTACAAATAATAAGATTCATTAAGGAAAATAATAGAAGAGACAGTAATAGTCATTAACTCTAGAATTCATAACTTCAGATTTCCCATTCACAATAAGCTTTGTGGTATGCCACAGCTTTTAATAGTCTAACAGCATTTTTTAAATTCTTTTCTTAAAAGATGATTGGCTTTGAATGTTAGAATATGCAAATACACATCAAAGACTGACCATCTCTTTGTGTTTGGGTATATATTTCTGTATGGCATAATATTTCCACTTGCACTGGTTTCCTGGCATGAAAATGTTTATTGCACTCATTAGCTAAGAGGGTATCGGCACTGGTCCAATGAACACAGATCTGCCTTCTGATTTCAGCCATTAAATTGCAATGGGATTCACAGGCTTAACATTGTGGGTGTGAGAATAATAAAATGGAACTCCATCTTTAGCCCAGTTACCATGGATGCAGTTAAAGGTCATAGTGCCAGCTGCTAACTAGTTGCCTTTTGAGCTGTGTTACCCCTCCTGCTCTGCTTTCCACACTTCTGCTCCTCCAGGTCTGTCACGGAATACCTTCACCTACCTTGGTGACACACTACCTCTTCTTTAAGACAACAGGCTCCCTCTTTTCAAGACAATGGTTGCTATAGACATCCTCTTTTATTTATGTCTAAAAGATATGATATAGAATAGGAAGATAAAGGCCTTAATAAAAACACAAATTGCTGTTGCTTCAGCGTCCTGAATTACTTTCTCATTTTCTGCATGCCACTCTACATTCCCAACCAAAAAGAAGAAAAAAAGTATAGTAAATTCCCATCTCCATTGAAACTGGTAATGGGTTCAGGCACTGATGCATTCACAACGTGAAACATCAACTTCTCCTTCATTCGGCCCAAAGTCCTAGGAGTTAATTCCCTGTGCTGCATGAGGTGTCAGGGTAATTACCGCTGATCAGCCCTATTTCTCCGCCGCTGCCCAGCGCCGCGGGCCTCCCTGTTTATCGATGCACCGCCACAGCCCCACCGCACTTGCATTCAGCCAAGCTTCTTAATCGAAAGGGTTTGGACAATGTCGGATTTTCAAAGAAAAGAAGTAGGGAAAAAAATTAAAAGTAGCCAAGCAAAATAAAGTGCATGGTAAGAAAGCTGAAAGCCCTACAAAATATTTCCTGATGTCAACACTTCATTTCAATAGATTTAAAAACTCCTATTCATTTCCAAAGGAAGTCCACAAGCCTTTCCCTGGGCAACCTCACCACACGGTCACATCTAGAAATATTTGCCGGACGTATAGCTTTAAAAAAAAAAAAAAAAAAAAACACTGTGGAAAAGTTTATTGTCTTTGTTCTATTTAGGAATAAGTCCTAACTATGTGTAGCTCTACAGGCCAGAATACAAAGAAATTTACCAAAAAAAAATGTTGTGCCCCTCTGTTTTAAACATACATTTATATAACTTGTCATTTCATAAAAATAAATTAAGTATTATATGAGCCAAATGTTTCAATTCCACACGAGAGTGGTTTCTGGGACTCTTGGCAGAATGCCACTATATTCATTTTTATTTCAAACACAATGTGAAGTCTTTAATTTTAATATACTTTGTAACTATAATGGTTATAGGGCATATACTGTATTAATTCATCCTCATCCTTTTCTGGTCCTGGGCGGATTTCGAGGAACAGAAAGATGCATTGATTTTACGTATCTTACACACTTTAAAATACTGTGGGAGAGTGAAGGGGGCGTGCAGACCAGGGAGAAAGAGAATATTTGGAGCTGGGCACCAGGGGCTCAGTGCCCTAAATGCTGACGCTGGCTTTGGCATATCATCCTTCTATGTCCCTGGTTCCCAAGTGCAAATGATGCCAGGCCAGGTAGAAAGGCGAGGCGTGCGGTCTGGATGGGAGTGGAAGCTGCATCTGCCACCTGGGGCTCTTGCCCAGCTCCCAAGTCCCTGCGCATCTCCCCAGGGAGCCATCTCTCAGCCTCTCACAGCTCTTTAGTCTGAAACAAGGAGGGCATTGGTTAGTCAGCTGATGGTGGGAGCCTCTCTGCAACCTCCCCATGTGATGACCGTGTGGTCCTGGGCCAAATTCTTTCTCCACAGCTCCTTTCTTCTCTGGAACTCCACTAGCCAACAGTCAGAGAACTGAGCAGGGCCAGGAACACTGGGAGAAGCCAGCCCCATTTAATCCAAAATACTCTGCCAGCAAAAGGAGAAGCTGACCCCTACAGAGGGAACGGAGTGGCAACGACAAATAGATATGTAAATCTATTAATCCCCAGTGATAGTGCTGAGGTGTCAGAGCGACCTCAGTAGCAGAGTGGTATTTCTTCATTAAAGGGGCTGCTGGAGGGGGCGGAAGAAAGAAGTAATTTTCATAAGCCTTATGACTGTCTTCTTGGGGACACCAGAATAACATGTTTCCAGCGATCACAGAGACTTCAGCTCTCCTCTTCCTCTGCCACACTTCTAATCAGAGAATTTCTTCCTGTGCCTTGTTTACTGTTGATATTTTCTGGCTGATTGGAGAGGAATGACATTTTGACAATTTACTGTAGCAGTAAGCACTGTACAAACAAAAGGTGCTGATGAAAACTGGAACCCATTATTATGTAAATGATGGCTGAGTAACACAGAATCCATCTCCCAGTCACCATCATTGAGACCAGTTTTACTCAATGATAATAATTTTCGTGATTGCAGACTTCAGAGTGATCAGAAATACGCTTTAGCTGTTGCATTTATCTACTGCTGGTACTTGACCCTTAATTAAATTCTGAAACTTTTTTATATAATAAAGTAAAATACAGCTGACACTTCTGTTCAAACAAAGAGGCTCAAATACAGAGCTACCAAATAAGATAAAGGTATTTCAGACTTACCTCGCTGTATTTATAGTAAACACGGATTGTACAGCGCATTTTGAAAGCGAGCTTTAAGTTTAAAATGCAGATGTGTGTTTTCAAGTAATTTCAATTCTGTACTTTGTCGCTGCTCTCCCTAAATGATGCTAAATCTCTGCAAGCTCATCTTGGACACGTCATAATAGAAAAATCTGCTTGAAAGACATGTAAATGTGCTCTGAAAATAAGTTCTGTGAGTTCTTTAAATCTTCTGTCTTAATATCTAGACTATTCAAAGCGAGTCTTCAAAACGATGCCACTTATTAAGATCCACACAGCTTGGTAAGCCGGTATCGAGTTTTGTAAAGGAATCTTTTCCTCATAAATTTGTTCTTGTCTTAAAAGAAGAAAGCCAAGGCAAATTTTAAAACAGCATTTTGGCTTTAATGAAAAATTGATTGGCTAAAACAGATGTCAAAGTGGAAATACAGGGAGGCAGGCATTATGCAGGTATCAGCTGGCTGTTAAGAATGGCTGACAGGAGAAGACACTTTGGCTAATGTGCTCTCACTCTCTTGAAATCCCGCTAATGCTTCGGAGCGTTTATTTACCTTGGAGTTCCCTCACTCTTTCAGGGTAGGAAAAAAGATCTTCATTTTGAATATGTTAATAAGTAAAAGTCAGCTTAAAGGGGGCAATTGTATGAGCTCGTTTTTAATATTTCCTTAGATATAACCCTTTCTAACCAGGCAGCTCACTGAGCCAATGAGCTAAGAAGGTAATTACTTAAGTGGATTTCATGAAGAGTAGAAAGATGATTGTGCCACATTAAATAACAATTGTGTCCTTAATGATGTGTTGGGCTATAATGCAAACATCCCCCCTCCATCACTGGCAGGGGCTCTGGTGTACCTTTCTAATGACTCCCAGGGCTTCCAGCCCTTGCCACGGCTCCTGGGGCTCTCAGAGCCTATGTAAACACCAAGGGAGCAGGTATATTTTTTTAGAGTGCAGTGCCTGCAGCTGCGTGGTCATTGATAAATTGGCTATGAATTGCTGAAATACTTCATATGAATATAAACATTGTTGTAGCTTTGTAGCTTGAGAAAAGGAAGAAAGAAATGAGAGAGAAGACTGCAGTTCCAGAACACAACCTTCCAGAGGTTTCCTTCTTTGTATAATGTGAAGGTCCCGTTTACATGAAAACCAGCACAATGGTCCCAAAAAGTGTGAGGGGGATGTGAATGCAGTGGAAAAATTTCATTATTAAAAGGAGCTTTTTTTACAGAAACTGACTAAAGTGTGGTTTTACGTTTAGGTATCTCTCTTGCATAGAAGCAGGAAATAATATTACAGTGTGTTAGATTTTGTTGCCTTAGAATGTATAGCTCTCTGAGCGTCTGCGTCCGCTCCACTGTTTGTAGAGACACTGAGGAAGGGCCATCATGATAAATAGATCCAAACTGAACTGGGATTCACATGAGGAAGAATTTTCACAGTGATGTAAACTTGAGAGAGAGAGAGAAAAAAACATGAAAAGGATAATTAGCTCATGGCTATAAATTTTCTTGACTGCTCTTGGATTCCATTATAATGACTATTTCCCATATAGCTCATAATAGTATCTCTTTGTAGACATGCACATTGAATCTTTACGAGATCATTATTTCTTGATGTTAAAATTAATAAATTTGATTGATATGTTCAAATGAAATGTACAAAATGCAATAAACAGTCCAAACGTGGAGAAAATACTTTTCATTAAATCCTATTTGATTGTCGTTGTACCCATTTCAGAGAAGATGGAAATAAGATACCTAGAATCAGAAAACTCCTCTGAAGGTACTGTGGTAATTGAAACGAATAAATCTCTTACGGCTTATCTTTTGGTTTGTTCATTTGTTTCATTCAAGGAAAGCAGACATCTGGATAAGAACAGATTACTGAAATGGAGATTTAGTGCTGCAGGAAAACCATGATCTCATGTTGAAAGATACTGTGTTATTGTTCCTAGAATGGACCTTGGAAATAATTACCACAAATTCAAACACTGTAGTCAGGAACGAAGCCCCTGTCATGTGCCAAGCCTGTAGCTTTGCAGGTATGAGAACACAGCCCCTGCGCATGAGAAGGAGGGCGAGGAGGCCGCAGTGTCTGGGTCCTGTGCCGAGACCATCAGGTGCTGCCTTATTTGATGCTTCCTCCCTGTTCACAGCTATCTGTGAGATAGAGTATCGGACCCCCAGGAGGCTGCATAACTCTCCCACTTTCTCAGAGCCTTAATCTAACCCAGGTCTGTCAGATTCCAAAGCAGGACTTGTTTACAGCATGGTCGTGATCCAGTGGGTGAGAGAGACCAGTCAACGCTGAAGTCCAGATGGGATCATGAGCCCTCAACCAAGCGCTGCGGGCAGCTCGAGAGAAAGCAGTGCAACAACACAAAGGGAACAGAGGCCCCCTCTCATCTCCAGCATCCTTTTCAAACCAAGTACCAGCTGCGATGTAAGCAGCTATATAAGCAGCTCAAACAGGACACTAAGGAGTCTAATTATTCAGCAAGTATTCCACACTGAACTGAAATAGTTAAGTATTTTGTGCCCATTTTACAGACAAGAGAAATAAAATGCATAAAGTAAATTATTTCTCCAAAGCTATAATAAATGAATTCTATAGTCAGAAATGAGAGAAAAGCTATGGGCACTTCCATTGGTGCTGGGGGTAAGTGCCTTCCCTTGTCACCATGTCTGAGTCTCAGGTAGGCTTCCGAGGTTTATCTGCCATGATTATTTCAGTGACATTCTCAGGTGCGAAGAACCAAGTGCGATACACAAACACAGACTGCCTCAAAATATCTTGGACACACTTTTTTTTAAAGGGGAACTCCACCTGAATTATAATAGCCAATCACTCAGAGCTTCTTATGTGCCAGCCACTGTTCCAAGTGTTTGATGTATATTAACTTCTCAAAATGACCCTTAAGTTAGGTATTATTATTTTCCTCCCCATTTCACAGATAAGGAAACTGAGCCATCAACACTAGGTGACTTGCTTTAGGCATTCGTCTGGAGAGTGGAGGGCGGCGTCTGCACCTGTGATGGGTTTCCCAGCCTGGACCACGGAACCACACTGCCTCCTGCGAAAGCAACGATGGTCGGTCAGAGTGAGCCTTCCCAGACCATGGGCAGCATGGAGGTTATAACCATTGATTAAAACCCTATTGCGAATAGGCTAAATATTTATTCCTTTTACTACAACATATTTGGGTGCTTTTATTTTCTCATGATGCATGTACAGAATTCAACTTACTGTCCACAAAATTTGCTTCCTTCCTCAGACAGAAATTCAAAAATATACAGACTTAGTTCCAGTGACATCTGTGCTTATACATATCATATTTAATTGTTTCTATCTTGTAGCCAAATCTATTATCTAACTTTTTGAAGCCAACAAGCCAATTTATATGAAATATATTTGCAAAAACATTTTATTCTTGAAGCAGTTCAGGAAGAGATATGAGTAAAATAAAATATCAAAGGAAGATATGAAATTATTTTGGGTGAAGTTATAAATCATAGTACTCACTCAAAACACTTGAGAAAGTGAACTTTTCCATCTTTCAGTGATTTCTGAATTTCTCTATGTCCTCAGGCGGCTCTGGGAGAGGGCCCAGTTTTCCCTTGCAGTTTCCAGAGTGTGTGACGACGTTCTCCCTCCTTTGCCACCAAGAAGGAACCACACCCTTTACCTCTTTCCCACGTAGTCCCTCAGACCTAGACGCAGTGACGATGGCCCCTCGCCCTCAGGAGCTGGCCAGGGCACCTGCTTCAACGTGCCCTCTGCCCGGCAGGGCAACGACGTACAGAACCTTTCAGGGCGACGTACAGAACCTTTCCACCTGGAGCACAGCGTCTGTTTGCATGTGACGGGAGTAAAGGTTTGTGATATATACTTGTAATTTGTAATACATATTTACTGAGCTACCACTGTGTCCCCAACACTGTGCACTACCTGTCCCTCCCTGGAGTATGCACGGTGATTTCAGAGCAGCCCTCTTTCTGAACCCAGAGGGCTCAGCCTGAGGGCTTCGCTGGCCTGAAGCTCCTCTACGGCTTATGTGAAGATGCGCCTCCTTGAAATGCAAACGGCAATCATAAACTACCTCAAAGCCACTTTGCTTTCTTACACAATGGTGCTCTCTAATTGGGTTCCCAGGAAGCAGACACAGAGATGGTGTTTACGGTGCAGGAGGGTTAGTGGGGAGATCATAGGGATCAACAGGGTAGGAGGGAAGGAAATGAAGCAGGGCTAGGCGCCGGAGAAGCTGGGCTGGCAGGCAGTGTCAACAAAGTGCCAGCAGACGTTGGGGAGTTTCACAGCTAGAAGGGCCCTTCAGCGCTGTCCCAAGGTAGAGCAAGGAGGTCAGGTCTTGAAAACCCTACATCAACTCATCACTATATGGGATGCCCCAGAAGAGGCGTGAGCTTGGGCAAAGCAGCCCTGTCCAGCCAAGGACGATTTCAGGAAAGACTGACAGCTGAGAGGTGTCTGCTATCACCATCCCAGCTGGTGGAACCGAGGGATGTGCGAGCACAGCACAATGTGCACTACACTCTCCACATCTTATCTTAAACCTAGAATCCTGGGCTATCTATATTACTGAATGGCAAGCAAATGAATCCAGAGACTTAGCAACTCTTCAAGTAGGACAGGATCTTAGAGGCACCCAAGTTATCATCCTCTCAGTGTAGGAATTACTCCTGCAATGCCCCAGGCAGCACGTCCTCTGTTTCTATTTGGATACGTCCAGGGGCAGGAGATCCTTGTTGGGAAGCTCCGGTTGTTACATCGGTTTCTCTTAGTTTGAGCCAAACCTTCTACGTATAAATCACTCTTTGATAGTAGTGCTTATGATGACAAATTATTGACAGTGTAGTCGAACCTAGCAAAGAGCAGTATGTTTGTGCAAATTCATTTGGACCAAGGACTGAAATAAGGGAGTTGATATTCATTCGTTTTCTTTAATTTACTCTACAAGCTCTTTTCCACAGAGTAGTGAGAGTGATCTTTTTTAAACAAAGGTTGAATTAGGTCTCTTCTATGCCCAAACCCCTCCACTTGGAATGAAGCCCACAGGCCTTGCCCTGGCCTACAACTCCCTGTCTTCGGGAGCCCTCAGCTGCTACCCACCACCTCTCTCCTCAGCCACTTTGCTCTCTTTAAAGTTCTACAGACACTCCACCTTGTTCAGCAGCCGGCTTTTGCACTTGCTGGGACATCTGCCCTCAACGTTCGGCCGCCAGACTTTTGTGAAGGTCCATTCAAGTCCCAACTTCTCAGAGAGACTTCCTGACACACCATCTCAGGAGGGCTCCTGGCCCCCTCCATCCTCTCTTCTGCTTGCTTTCTCTTTGTAGCCCTCAGTAATTCCTGGTAAGGAACGTGTGTGTGTGTGTGTGTGTGTGTGTGTGTTTTGAAGTTTTGTTCACCACTGTATCTCTAAGCTTCTTGAACCGTTCTGGCACATAGGAGCTTTAAGTAAATATTTGTTGAGTGAGGACACATGAATGAATGAATCAATGAACAAATAGAAGCTTGCCAAAAAGTTATGGATAATGTACTTTGTAAGTTACTGAAATTTTGAAGGAGAGGATAAGAATAAATCTCTGCTAAAAGAAAATCATCCAATAAATGGAAATAAAAATGTTTATTCTACTGAGTTATAACCAAAGAGAAGAGAATTTATATCGCAGTTCATTTATAGACACTATATTGTAAACTCCTTGAGGCCCACGACCAGGTTTCATTCCTGTTTTAGCTCCCAAAGCCCCTAGCACGGTCCTGTGAATGGATCAGGCACCCACTAAATGTTTCTTGAACTTTATTAATTTAGCATAGCAATAAACCTCATCAATAAAACAAAGACTTCAGTCACCTGACACTGTCATGAACGGGAAAGGCTAACCTATTTCAAGTGTCATTACGCTTTTTTCTTGATCATCTTTAACAGCATTAGACTAGTGCACCAATTTTCCTCAATATGTTTGTAGATGAGAGTTAGAAAAAAAGCATTAAATATCGCATTGCTATTTAAGAGCATTTGCTAACCTTCATGGGAATGAAAGGCCCATTCAGTGGAACTCAGGAGGACCAGCCCATGAACATTTATGAAGCAGGCCACACGCTCAGCCCCGCAGCGGGAAGGGGTGCTGTCTTAAGGATCCAGAGGCATGCTCAGGACACATTGGCTGTAGGCGGGAGGTCGCGAGGGGAGGTTGGCTGGGTTCCTTTGTTTTAGTTTGGTAAACCAGCCACTCTACCTCCTTATGAGAAATTGGTGCAGTGTGTTTTGAAGCAAATAAATGACTGACCCTGATTCGGCCCTTCTAGGGTACACACTTCCCCAGGAAAGCCGGGAGGAGTGAGACCTTTCGCCCTGCTCAGCATCCCTTCTACTGCAACTGTGGGGCGTGGTGACAATGAGGATCAGCTGGTCAATGATGAGCAGGGGGGCTACCGTAGCAGAGATGTCCTAAAGTGGACAATCACACTGATACTGGAAGCATTCCTCCCACATTCCAGCATGAACCAAATCTCACCAAGTCCTGGCCAAACCAGGCCCACCACCGACATCTTAGGAAAAAACAGGAAGAAGAGGGAAACAGAAGCTCAGCGACAGCAGAACAGAGCAGGAGCCACAAAGGGGCAGCTGTGGGCTGGGGTGCCCTCTGTCTTTGCAAAGTCATGAATCATGTTAAGACACTTCACTTTTTAAAATTATCTCTCTTTTTTCATTATAAGGAAAATAACCCATGCTTTATTTTAAAAATTATGCAATGCACTCATGCACACGAAAGAATAAAACTACTTGTAATCCTACCACACACAGACCAGCACCTGGTAATCTTTTTATAAGGATGCTACAAATATTTTTTTCTCCGTGTAATATAGCTAATGACCATTAACTAATAACTACCTGTTAACCATTTAAGAATTGTGCAGTTCTACAGTATGCTAGAAAAAGGAGTGATCAATGGATTTGGCACTTCTGTATATTCTTTGGCCCACACATTCAATGAATATTTTTTAAGTACCTACTATGTTCCAAAAAATATGCTACATGCTCGTGATACAAAATGAAAGACATCATCCTTAACCTCAGGCAGGTTAAAGTGAGAAAAGAAAGTAATTACAGCTCCGTGAATTATAATTCAGTGAGTAGGTGCATCTTCCTTAGCCAGAGACTGAGATTTTCAAAAGACATGATAAATGAACACAGTGTTGATGAGTAGGAGGCAGTTAATAGGAAAAGAAGTTAGGGGGAGGGCACTAGGATGTGCAAAGACATAGAGTTGGGAGTAAACATGGTGCGTTTGAGGAATGGCCACGGGATCAGAAGAGCCAGCAGGGTGAAGTAGGGGAGGTAGGCAGGGGATGGATAGTGCAAAAAAAAAAAAAATAGACACTTTGTCAGGTGTGTGACTCAGGAGGGTTCTGACAAGCCCAGATTGGCATTTATTAAGACTACTCTGAGTACAACGTAAAGCACGGACTGGGGGAGATTAGAAGCACAGACAGCAGTGAAGGACGTACCTCAGCCCAGGTGGTCAGAAGCTCCTGGAGGACCCAGAACAGAGGGAAGCATGCCCGGAGCCATGAGAAGAGGGGGAACCAGAGAGGCTCACGCATCAGGCCTCCAGACAGTGGGCGGGACCTAGAAGACAGGAGCCAGCCTTCTGGGGAAAAGGACTGACAAGAATTGGGGTGCCTGAGTACCAGGCTCAGTGGAGAGACAGACAGCAAAGCGAGGAAAGAAAGTTGAAACTTAGTCACATGAACTAAGCCCTACAACTGGAATAAGGAAAACGTTTGGACTTGGTGGCTTATGCTAGTGTTTGAGGCACAACCCAAGACAAACTGGACACCAGGCATATGGAAGCAGCACTCTTCTCCCATCTTGACTCCCTTCTCAAAATGTCTACCTTCGGGCAAATTACAGCACCTGTGCTGTTCCCCCAAGCTTTTCTGTATTTCACCACTCACATCTCACTAATTCCACCAAAGGAACACTATTTCTTCTCTCTCTCACATACTCACTCATACACATGCACCCTAAAAGCTTCTTTCCCCTTTCCCTATTGCTGCCGATTCTTGCCTAGATTTCGTAAGAAACTATCTTTTTTTCCTTCTCTCTTTTTTTGTTTCATTGATATTCCACATAGAAGTCTTACCACTTTTCCTGGAAAGAGACCTGCTGTGATATGTCTGTATAATGGAGGGCTGGGGTAGGAGAGGACATAAGTTTGGAAGAGTAATTAGAAATGTTGCAATTAGAAGTTTCCATCAGAAGCAGCGTATACACACACACACACACACACACACACACACACACACACACAAATCTCTGTCTACAAACTCATCTTTTAAAATTAAACCTGCATTTCCTTAAGCATTAGCATACTAGATCAAACCTGTAAAAGGATTTCTTAATTTTATTACCTTATCATTTTTCTACTTGGTTTAATTTATCAGCCTGGCAACCATACTGATGTTTGGCTCATTAGTGTATGTAGCTTTTCAGCCAGCTATAAACAGACTTTATAGGTTAGATCTAGAATGTAATCACTGTTTGCAATACATTCCTTTGGGAAAATGTATGCTGAGATCCCAAGAAACATACCTCAAATGAGCATGTAGAAGTTACTTGCTCATAATTTGAAGTTTCCTGAATAGAGGCAGATAGAGATAGATGTAAATATATCTGGAAGGAACTCTAGATGTAAGATATAATTGTGTCGTAGCTAAAGATAATGTACCACAGCAGGGGAAATTAGCACATTTGTGGATTATCCATATGTTTCACATCAGTTGCAAAAATCTAATCATTAGTTGAAGAAAACCTTATGTCTCAATCAGAAAAATTTCTATATGAACATTGTTTACTGAACTTAGATTCTTGGAATGAATGGCAAGATCTATCAAAGTCAAGCAAGCTTGTGAACTCCAAACACAATTTCATTTGCCAATGGCCACTTGTCAACAGTGGAGTATCTTTAAGCTAAACTAAATCTTACAAACAAAAATTAGAAGAACACATAATTAATCAAATTGCAAACTTGTTCTTTCCTACCACAGATTAATCTTGAGGCATAAAGATTATAAGCAGGAATTTAGAAAAACATGCCCCTAACTATATTCTGTAAAAGATTAGTGTCCCATGAGATATCAACAGTTGTTCTATTAAAAAAAAAACAAATCCATTGGGTAAGTTTGAGCATGCTGAGTTAATCACAGTGAAACAGGCTTCTTTTCTCTAGAACTTCTTAAAGGCTTCACTATGCTGACATGTATTGTGAATTTCTAAGGAAGGACATTATTTCTCAAACTTATTTGTGCCTCAGAAATGGGTAGTGGAGCTTTGTAACTCACATGGCACGGAGCTAAGGCTCAGGATGGGAAGACCTTTTAAAATGAGTGGAAATCCTGGTTGTTTCAAACTGCACTTGGGCCTGAAATCGGCCTCAGGATGTCCAGGAGCCCAGGAATGATTTGCCACAGCTTTGTTATAAATGCAAATCTGAGAAACAAGGGACGGAGCAAACAGTCACCATATTCATACCTTTCAAACAAATTTAAGGGAAAAGAAAAAAATAAGAAGAGTTCCCCTGAGCTGCCATCTTTAAAAAAGCATGGCGTTCCAGAAGGGTGAGTGAGAGAGGGGTCTCTATAGCACCGGAGGTGAGCTGAGGGGCCAAAGTGATGAGTGACCTCCACTCAGTTAAGTGCCTGTCTACCAACTGGGCAGCAAACATCAATATTCTGGCGCTCAGGGACGTCTTGGAGGGATGGCTCAGTTCAGCCACAACCACGGAAATCCCTTTAGACATTCAGTGTGGACTGCCCCAGGGACTGGTCTTGCCCTCTGAAAGCTAGACTTTATCGCATCACAAGGAGGGCGCTTTACACTTAGAATCAATATTTAATTCATTGATGCTAACCCTGAAAGCTGAAAGTACTGTCAGAGTTGGCAAGGGGACTCTAAATTTATGTTTTAATTAGTTGGCCATTTCATCAAAAGGTAGACACGGTGTCTGTGGTTTCGAACTTTGAAATAAACCCTACATGAGGGGAAAAAATGCCAGGACATAGAGCCCATTCATGCACATGTTTATGGTTCCTCTACCTGTGAGAAGGAAAGATTTTGTGAAGGTGTATTATGAGGAAATTTTACACAGCTTTCTTGTTCATCAAATGAAGCCAGTGCATATTTTACTCAGCAAAACATGAACTTAGGGTGTGGCTACTTAAATTTGGGAGGGGGGTACTTTTTGCATTCAGATTTTTCTGAATTGTTAAATGAAAATACCACACACATGGGAAAGAAAGTTTACAGAGGAAATTTTATAGGGATAATTTTTTTTAACTACGTAAACTCAAGTACTGTGAATTAAATTTTAAAAGACACTACTTGTTGGAGAGGAAATCAGAAGCTGTTACTAATAATGGCATACAACCAGAATAGTTTCTCAGCACTTTACAGTAATGATTCAGTGAAACCAATGAGATTATTCACAAAACCAAAACTTTGATTTCTTAATATCAAAGCTGGGAAACAGAAGTTAACCACAGCTTTGGTTCTCCTTGGCCAAACTCTTGGATTGGTCAATGCACAGGAAACGCAGCCCTGTCTAATCTGGTCACACGACCATCCCACAACCACCCTGAGGACAGATGTGACAGGGAAAGTGGAAGGTCATTAACGGTTTCATCCCCATTATTGTAAGCCCAAAGCCCATCCTTATGATGCTCTCTGCTCTAAGAGGGCTAGAAAACCAGTATCTTTCATAGTAATGACTTCCAGTTTACAGCCTTCATTTGTTATATTTCCTCAATAGCTGTTGTGTTGAGATTAACTGCATAAATGGTCTGCAGCTGTCTGTTATGAATTAAGGGAGTTTAATCAAAGTATTTCTAATGTACAGCATAATGATAATACATGGGGGAAGTACTATTTAAGAGATAATGATGGCTTCAGAAGATCACTGTTGTAATGTTTAGTGCATATGCCTTCAGCATTGAATTTGTTGTTGTTCTGAATATGCTTAATGGATCGCTGAAAAGCTGCCTAATGCGGGATTGTTGGATGGGGCTGACAGGGCTGGAATTAGCCCATTGCTGTTTACTGCATACAGCCATTAAGATTAATTGCTGCCAGATAATTTTGACTGTTTTTATCTTCTGGAAAAAGTGTCACTAATGGGTTTATAAATTGGTTCACTATTACTAATAGTAAGGCCAGTGTAACAGGATAGAGTGTCAGCTAATTCTAAAGATAAAGGTAAAAAAGTATAAAGTACTATATGCCTTGCTAGTTTTAAGGGATACTGTTATCTAATAACAGACACGCTGATATATGATGCTCATTAATGCTATTTCCTGAGCTTTGGGTTGAACCTAATAGATGCTAATAAAGTCTTATTTGATGTCCCATTAAAAAGCTCAATCTGTTTTCTATATTAATGCCCAGTGTTGTTTATCACATCTTTGATGACTAAAATCCAAATTCCAATCTGTTCCCAAACCAAGCTTTTCTGAGCATCTTTATACATATTTTTTATATATGTGAATTTCTATTAAAAAATCAGAGAAGAATTAACAAAGTTCATAAATTTGCAATCACGATAAATGGTATGTATGTTACCTATAAAGTTCACAATCCCAGATTTTTTAATATAATGCCTAAGCAAGCTTCTAGAAACAGTGTGTTGCCTTTCTAACTATTGTTTAGGGATTGCTTACATTTGAATACAATTTTGAACATATAGGTAATTTAGCTTAGTGGAGATTAAAGAAAGAGTCACATACCTAAATCTTAACAGATTATAGGATTAAAAATTTCTAAAAATCTTTTTCTAAGGAAGTTAAATGGCTCTAGCTATTTTTAAGTGAAGTGATTGCAGATTATCCATGGGGTATTCACAGCCATCACCATGAACTCACTAACCCAGGTTCCCACGTTGGTTTGCAGAAGTTGTTTACCACATGAATTCTGAGTTTTGCCAGTTTGTCACAATTTATAATAAAATTTCGTGCATTGAGTTTCAAATGTATTTGTTATTTCTAAGACTGCTAAAAATCGATGGAAACAATATGAACCAGACAGATAGACAGTAAATATTTAACCATGAAGAAGAAACCAATAATTCATGAGTAGTGAAGTTGTCCTTTCCTTAAGAATGGACACTGTAAATTATGAAGTGTTTCTTTTGTGAAGCCAAAAGCATATTTATATCTTTCAACTACCTTTTTTAAAATTGCACTTAAAAGTTTTACATTTAAAAATACCTGAACTCTTGAAGTGTATATAACATACCATATGACAGATGATTTTCCTTTTTCTCCTTGTGGTGGTGCTGGAGAAGAGAAGGGAAAAAAACACCGCATATTCTAAGTGATATTCTCTGTGGAATGAAGCTTCAAGTAAGTTTCAAGAAAACTGTTCTGCTGTCTTTTAGAAATTTCCTCTGAAGTGAGGTGAGGTCAGAGGCTGAATTGCACAAATTTTTTTCTCTTTCATATTTTCAATATTTAACTTAGGTTCAATAGTTAACATAAAACAAGTGTGCACTGCCTCAAAAGAAATAGTGTGGGTGGTGTTTGTAAGGCGCTGGCCTTCTTTGAAAGGAAGATCTTTCTGCCAAGCAGCCCCACCTGGTGACACTGGACCATGGGGAGGCAGGTGAGTGACCCACAGGACCCATCTCTCAGGTGGCCACTCAAGCCCTTGCTGGGGGTGAGGGATTGCAATAGGAACATGCCCAGATTTTATCAGTAGCATTTTAGGACACAAAGAGTTCCCTTGTAAACTTTAACTTGCACTTGGTCATATATTCTGCATAAATATACAAACATTTTTCCGTTGAAGAAAACCTGGTTTCATTATCTCAGTCTGTCATCTCTGGACGGTCCCCTCACCCCTCCTGAAATAGGAATCTTGCCGAGCTTCTTTACCAGCATGTACCGCAGTCCTCAGAATCAGAGAAACATTGTAAGGCATTGTAATCAGATTTGAAAAAAGGCCTGTGTTTAAAACTCCTGTCTCCTTCAGAAGCTCCTTGGTTCTTGGCCTTGGCTTGGGCCACATTTTCAAAAACAACAACAAAACCCCCGGCATAAACCTGAATATTTCGTCAACTCTTAGATGCTTTACGTCTGTATTTTTGAAAAAGGAATCTTAATATTTCAAGATTGTTTCTCTTCTCATGCAAGGTAAATGGGGACCGACCAGTTTAAATGGGAGGAGTAGAGCGAAGACAGTGACAGGAGGGAGAACGTGGACAGCACCCTGAAATGTCATGCATGGTAGGGGTGGGGGCACAGGGGCTTTCCTAAGTCTAACCGTGGAAATTCAGCCTTGAGTAAATCCCAGAGCTTTAAACTGCGTCTGTGCATTTGTTCAACTTAGCGACAAAGAAGAAAGTTGCACAAGCAGATACTTTAGGACTGTTCACAGCGTGGAGATTTAACAAGGATCCCGAAGCTCTAGGCACACAATGACTGCTGCCGGGAAGTAGCTGCATTTGCAGCATCCCCTTGACATCTGCCTCATTTCAATAATTTCCAGCCATTGAACCTCTGTCTGAATGAGCATTAGGAAACAGAGGCATGTTTGGTTACTAATTTGAGTCTCTCTCTTCTCTCTCCAGTTTGAATTTTATGCTTGTGAAAGGGCTCAGTTGATGAGTTCGATGTCTGCAGTTTTCTGTCCATATGACCGACACATTCTCACCATCTCCCTGTATATCAAGGTGAGGAAGGGAAGCCCTGCTGTGTGTCTGCCTTCTCCTTCTTCAACAGTGAGCATCAGCTGAGTGGTGTGGACATTTCTCTTTTAAGAACTAAGCTGAGACTAAATCTCCATTTCATATATGGCTGTGCAGAGGTCGTCCAAAATCTCTCCCAGGTGAGGTAATGCTCTTCAGTTATCACAAATCTGGATTTGAAACTGGGACCCACCAGTTTGCCCCATGCAAAGAACAAGTGCTCGGAAGTTGAACGGCAATAAGATGTGTTGAGATGCTCTAACCAGCCTGGGAGGAGCGGAATATATCACCTGTGGGTGAGACCCACCTTGCTATCTACCAGCTTTGCCAGTGCTCTGATATGGAAATGTCTTGGGACAAAAGCTGGCAGGAGGAAATCAGGTATATCTGCTAGACTAAGACTCCTAACACCTGCTTGTGCAGTCTGTCGTTCCCACCCACTCTACCCTTTGTCTCACGTTGTCAGTCAGCGTGGTTGGACCATTCAGAAGAATCTTGAATACTCGTAGTCATCCTAATTCGCTAATATATATTCACTAATGTCAGAGATCTGTACATGTGATTCCTGAGCCTATTACAGTAACAAGTTGCTCCAATGCTACTGGGCATATTCTTTATGTCTTCTTTTCCAGACTACTGACTCAATTTAAGATTACATCCTCTGCTTCTTTGCTTTTATTGCATTTGCCCTGTAAAACTCATTCCCTTCACAGTATAAGACATCTGGAGACGGGGGGCATTCCAAGACTGGACATAAGGCATGTTTGATTCTGCTTCCTTAACATGATCCACTCTTTCTACGATCTGCGAAACTCCCCAGCATCCTGTCACCGTTCCTGGGATCCAGGAATAGAGTGTTGGAACCTGCTTAAGTATTAATTGTCTGGCATTGGAAGATTTTTCTTTCAACCACATTCAGGCTGCTACCTCTGCAGAGTGGCATGCAGTGCCTCACTGCATCACTTGAGGAAAGAAATGGTAAATTAGGTAGGTTTTAAAATTGCCCATTGAACTCACATCATTAAATAATTCTATAAGAAATTCATAAGCGGAGAAAGTAGGAAGATTAAAATGCTATAAATTATGTGTGTGGGGTAGGGGGGAGTATACACTTATTTTGCCCTTTGTTCTGGCCACAGAACACTCAGAGCTGGCACGGTTCTGCCCACGGCTTAACAATAAGCACCTGAAAGGAAGCGTGACCCCTGAGTGCCCCCAAAAGGGGGATTATTGTAACAGCATTTCGCTCATCTCTAGGAACTGGTTTAAAACACCTTTGCGTCACTCAGGTTACACTTGTTCCAGTGAGGCATTAAAGTCTCTGTCTTCCCCTCTGACTTTCCTCCTTCTTGGTGCTTTCCCTTCCTCAATTCCTATCCTATCCAGCAGCAAGGATATTCACCCCAAAATGCCAAGAACGTTCTAGCCACAGCTGTTCTTTGGTATTTTTCTCCACCATTATTCTTGGTCACTCCATCCTATCTCTGTGGCAAGTGTTCATCCTAATCACCCTCCTTTTCTCTGTTTCTACCTGGTCTGTATTCTTCATGAACACAAGGGCAGTTCTACTTTCAAACCACTGTGCCTCAGCACACAAAATAGTGCCTGGCCCAAAAGGAGCGCTCTCGTTACCCAAGGCTGTGCAGCAGATCACTCCAAAATGTAGCTGTTTAAAGCAACAACAATTATCTTACTATGTCTCACAGGGTCTGTGGGTCAGTTGAATTAGAGAAAGGCTAATTCCCGACCCATAGTCTCAGTGGTTCTGCCTAAGGGGCTCCCGTGCAGTTGCAGGAGATATAACAGCTAGGGACTATATGGGCATCTTTTTCTCTTACATAGTCTCAGGGCCTCTCAGTTTGTCTCTCTTCATCTGGCTAGTTGGGCTTCCTTACAGCATGGCCATCTCAGGCCAGGAGGACTACTTACACGGCAACTGAAGGCTTCAAGACCAAGCATTCCAACAGCAAGGCAGAAGCTATGAAGACTTTTCTGACCTAAACTTGGGAATCACACAGCATCATTTCTACTGCATTCCGTTAACTATAAGTGAGTCCCAAGTTTATCCAGATTCTAGGAGAAGGGAATTAGAGTCTACTTCCTGTTGGGAGTGGGGCAGGTTCTAGAAGATCACTGGGGACTGGAGATAATGTTACAGCCATCTTTGGAAAATACAATCCACCAAAGAAAGTGCCCGAGCACTGGCTGTGAAAGTAAATAAATGTCTCAATTTTTTCTTCACTCCATGTGCTTTATCCATCTAACTTTTCTATATTCTTACCTACTAGAAAGATTCTGTTAAACTTAGATTTCTGTAATTTGTCTTAAAGATGAGTCTAGAAAATATAATACACCCCCCCTCACCTCAGCAGTCATAACCCTCCCCACTTCCACCCTAATCAAAATCACTTAAAGAATTTATAAATTTCCTTTGTTCATCATTTTCAGACTTCTGTTTTCATGCTTAATCTCTCCGAAGGCATGCATTTTGGTATCTCTGTTTGTGGCTCCATAAGCTACTAGATGCAATTAATTAATTTAAGTTTAGCATGCCTGCACTAAACTATTTTCTCCATAAGCTTCTCTTCTTTATCCACTTCTCAAAGAAGACTGCTATGAGTAAGGATTGCTCAATTCCTTGCACATCCATGTTCATAGCAGCATTATTCACAATAGCCAAAAAATGGAAGCAAACCCAAGTGGCCACCGATGAATGAATAGATTAACAAAACGTGGTCTATACATACGATAGAATACTATTCAGCTTTAAAAAGGAAGGGAATTCTGACACATCTTACAACATGGATGAACTTGAGGACATTAGGCGGAATGAAATAATCCAGGGAATCTATGCAGAATATGCCTCAGAGTGATCCCTTTTTGTCCTTCTGGTCCTTCACTCTGTTGCTAACATCCGGAGAGTCTCACTTCCCCCATTTTGGTTCTCTGCTCTTCCAACACTTATATAGCTATTTTGTTTATTAAGAACCCTCTATCTGAAATACCTAGAGTGGGACCAGCTGAGTTTGTGCCGGCCCCTTCTCCACAGACATGCTGATCCTGACATCATCAACCCACTGAACCAATGACAGCATGTATCTCTCTCCAGACATCATACAACATAAGAAAATTATTTACTTAATTTGCTTTATTTATTTAATCTACTGTGACTGAGGTTTTATTTTGTCTCTAAAGAATCCAAAAGATTGTCTAAACAAAGTTAGCCTAAAAGGAAAATAAAGTCATGTAAAAAAGAAAAAGCTTAACATGTATACTGTACTTCATTCAATCATCTCTCTTCATTTATGTACTATTTATTTGTTTTCTTGTTTTCAGCAGCATGTGTGATGGACTGTTCATTCACTGGACAAGTATTTGTTTCCTAATGTGTCATATACTGTCCATCACATAGCTAAGATTGTAAGGGAGACAGACATCTAAAGAGTTTATTTCTGCTTCCACTTCTTTTTGAAACAAACTGAGCTGTTCTGTTCCATGTAACTCCACACTCTCTTGGACCCTGGGCGTGTTCTTCTGGACAATCACTGGAGCACAAGAACCAACTCAAGCCACAGAAGCACAGTTAAGGCTTGTATCATAATGACTAACATTCCATCGGCCAATGCAAATCATGTGGCCAACATGAATGGGGCTAAAAAGTGTTTCTTCCCACAAGCGGAGGGGAAAGGGAGTGCTGAAAGATAATTCTCAAACTTTAACATGCTTCAGAATTCCCTGGAGGTCTTGTTAAACTAGACTATAGGGCCCCATCACCAGAGTTTCTGATTTGGTAGGTTTGATGTGGGGCCTGATAATTTGCATTTCTAACAAATTCCCTGGTGATGCTGATGCTGCTTGTCTGGGGACTACACTTTGAGACTCATTGATGGGAATTATCACAGTTGGTATCTAGAGATACCACGCAACGTCTAAGAGAAAGTGGGGAACAGGAGAGTGTGATATGCAAAAGGAAAGAAAACCAAAAAGGATTGAAGTCTTGGGAATACTCTCTGTGAGAAAATGCAAAAGTATCTTGGTTAATTAGCCCAAAGAAGGGCAGCTAAAAGAGAACTTAATAAGAGTCTTCAAGTGTGCTTTGGGATATGAGCAGCTATTTTTCTGAGGACAGGAAAAGGATGCCAAAGCACCAGGAGAGATTCAAGGAAGCCATGAGCAAAAACAGCCCATCTTCAAGGCTGTAGACATGACATGTACCCTAAGGACTCAGAGAATCAGAATTAGATTGTTTAAAGCATGAATCATTTCTTTTCTTTAGTTTTTTGACTTTTGTTGTACACTAAAGCAAAATTAGAATTGTCTCTGAGGGTCCGTTTTGGTCCTATAACTCTGACAGGAGGATAACAGAAACAACAGTAAGGAAGGAGACAGAAGTAGTCATCTTGAGGAAAGAGTGCATTCAAAGATGCCTCGAATAGATTTTTCATGAAAGCAAACATTTCTTAATTTTGCTGTCACCCCTAACATATAATGAACCTCATCCCTTGGGAAGATGATCTTTTCAGGGAGACTGAAAAGAACATAGCAAAAGCCAGAAGACCTGGCTCTGAATCTAGATTCCACCATGTTTTTGTTGATTGGTTAATTACCTTAATCTTTTCGAGTTTCAGGTTTCTTGCCTATAAAATGAGAATAATAATATCAATAACACTAGGGTGTTGCAAGGATCCAAAGAGGTAGTAAATGAGAAATTGCTTTGCAAACCATAGAATGCTGGTTTTGTGATGATGTGAGAAACAGTAAGGTGGGAGGCTGCCCATCACAGGTTGCTGTACTTTTCCAGTTGGAATTTCAAGAGTTAGTAGGAGGCTGATTTGTTTTTTGACCTCAGATGATGAAAGTTCAGTTAATTGGATTCTTAGCTAAGGCATGTGATGAACATCCATTGGTACAAGGCTCTTCTCTTGCTTTATGATTTTCCCTTTAACCTCATTCTCAATCTTATCCTCCCCTCCCCCACCTCACATATGGTATATATCCTTGATATGCATAAATCTTTGAAATATAATATTTTTATTTATCTGTGTATGATATTGTGCTTTAGATCTTGCTCTACGTTTTACTCAACACCATGTTCGTTCCAATCTATCCATTTAGCATTATATACCTCTAGTGACTGCTACAGTAGGAATTCTTTTTTAATTAGATTCTTGATGTAAATAAGAAACTTTTTGTTTTGCCAATTAAGGACATAGGACAAACAAATATCTACCATCTACACTTCCTATCATTTCACCAAAAACTTCTAAAGGATGGACTTTCCAGCTAAAGGGCAGTGTTTATGTTGAGTACATCCAGACCATCTAGTTTTGTGGGAAACCTCACCCATCACTCTTGTTTGTGGACTAGTGAAGATGTATCATGGGCTGGAAATGGGAACAAGTTGGAGCTCAGCAAAAGTTTTCCGTAACGTGCTATGTAGTAACAGTGTAGACTTCGTAGGCCCAGAGCTGGATCACGGGCAGTTGTGCAAGGCCCACATTTAGAAGGGCCCTGTGCTTGGTTTAATGCACTGCTGTCACTGTTTTGTTTTCTTTTGTTTTGTTTTTGCTAAAGAAGATTAATCCTGAGCTAACATCTGTGCCAATCTTCCTCTAGTTTTCATATGTGGGTGGCCGCAGCATGGCTGACAAGTGGTGTACACCTGCACCCAGGATCTGAACTCGCCAAACCGAAACAGAATGTGCCCAACTCAACCACTACACTATGGGGCCAGCCCAAATGCCACCCTTTTTGAATTCTTAATAATTTATGAACGTGAGGCCCTGCATCTTCATTTTCCTCTGGGCCTCACTCCTGTGTGGATCACATAGCCTCTGTCACAACCACTCACCTCTGCCTTTGGAGCACAAACACAGACATAGACCACACATAAACAAATGAGAGTGGCTAGGTTCCAATAAAATTTTATTAAAAAAAATAGGCAGGAGGCTGCAGCTGGTCTGTAGGCCACAATTTGCTGACCCTTAGCTTAGGGTACAGGCTATGGAGTAGGCCAGGCTAGGTTCAAATCCTGACACCAGGACCTATGACTGCATGACCCTAGGTCATTTACTTAAACCCCTCTTAAAGTCACTTTCTGCCACTTGTAAGAAGAGCAATAATAGCATAGGACTGTGTCTCGGGGCTGCTGTCAGGATACATGAAATGATGGATATCTTGGGCACAGACCCCTCCAGGTGCAAACTTGCTCGAAGCAGAACTGTTCTCATTTCCATTCTTATTCTTATTCTCCTCCAGCATAGCCTTTCTCTCTATTCTGATGCCAAGTCATTTACTTATTCTAACCCTTCAGTCCCTCTGGGAATCCTCCAGAATATGTATCAGAGGAAAGTGGCAGTCTATGGATTAGTTCCCCTTGTCCTCCCTTTCCAGGTAAACTTCTTTGGCTAACATTAGCAACAGCTTTCAATAAACCAGAACACAGCCAGCAAGCAATTCCCGCTAACTCCTCATGATCTTTCATACGGGGTTCTGGAGTTTTATTGCCAAGGTACAAACTCTCATCAAATTTCCCCACTGCGGGCTGGTAGGAGGTACGATAGCTCATACATTCTACAGGTAACGTAGTTGCTTCTGCAACAGATGTACACCTGCAACCTCAGGCAATCAGATAGTCTTATAGGTGTCCTATGGCATGAACCTCCTCTTCTGTCCATTGTTAAAAATAATAGGACAAGTGGCCTCTTACCTAGCGTAGGTTTTATGGTAAATATTTTTTCCCTTTAGTTTCTTTCTTGATTGAAGGCCTCAGATCATAGGCTTTGAGTCACAGATACCTCTAAGAGTCTCTTAAAAACTACGAATACAGGCCAGCTCCGTGGCCGAGTGGTTAAGTTCTTGTGCTCCGCTGCAGCGGCCCAGGGTTCGGATCCTGGGCACGGACATGGCACCGCTCATCAGGCCACATTGAGGTGGCATCCCACATCCCACAACTGGAAGGACCTGCAACTAAGATATACAACTATGTGCGGGAGGGTTTGAGGAGATAAAGCAGAAAAAAAAAAGAAGAAGAAGAAGATTGGCAACAGTTGTTAGCTCAGGTGCCACTCTTTAAAAAAATAAATAAATAAAATAAAAACTATGAATATTCTCTAAAGAAAAAAATATGCACTTGTGCACATACATACACGCATTCTTTTTTTTACATAAAATTTCGGGAGCTTAAAGATCCTCTGAGAACTGAGGCATAACCACTAACCATCTATCTATGAGAACAGACTAAGAATTCCTAGCTGAGGGACTTTCAAAGCTTTATTATGTGAGGTATCAGAATCACAAGTTCCATGGATGCTGGCTAGAGCAACCTGGAAGAAGAGGTACATTCTTAAAAGTGTGAACTAACTAATGTGAATTCCTAGACTCTTTAAGTCTTTTTAGGACATAAGGATGATGAATAAATGGCTTGTAGAAAAGAAGCCTTCAGCTATCCATTAGGGCAGCTTGCCTTCCTCCAGTGATGAGATCTATGTGGATGGTTCTTCCGGTTACTCTCAGGGTAGTGAGTTTTTGCTTCGGAAAATGTGATTGATGTGGCTGTGTCTCCACGCACACATCATTAGTCTGTGGTGGGTAAGCTCAGATGGTCGGAGCTTCGTGCTAATGAGGCGAAGGTTAGGGGTTCAGTGCCCATGTGGGCCACTTAGCTTTTGTCTCATTCACGTCCCCAGACTACTCCCAACACAGGCCACCTGTCTTGAAAATGTAAATCTATGGTCAGGAGGAGGAGCCATGCAAAAGAGTCTGGATAGATTGCTGCAAATCTGCCCTGATTCCAGGAAATCAACCCCTCTGTGAGTGCCTGGTGGTGGAAGAGGAGACTCACCTTCATGTAAAAAGGACAGCAAACCTACTATTCAAGACAGGCATGATCATGCATTTTGCAAATAACTTGTTAAATTGTCACCGAATTTTACATTCCTGGAAAACATAAAATCAAATGAGAATATGTTAGATAAAACAGCAGTGAGGTGACTTTCACTTTAAGTAAACTAAACATGAATATTTTCTTACATGTAGAAGGGTAAGCACTCACTTTGCAGAAAGCTCCTTTTACAAAAAGCAACCACAGATGTTCCTGAATTATTTAATTGACAATCCTCGATTAAATGTTATTGAAATAATAGATGAATCGAACAAAACTTTTCAGGCTCATGTTTCTTTTATAGAGCAAAACATATGTTTGTGTCCAAATTGTTCTTATTCACTTTGGGTAAAGGAACTACGATCCAACCCAAGACGGAGGGCAGGAAGTGATCCTCAGGTCCTCCCTGACCCATAGGCTTTTCTTGTCCTGGATCCACGTGAAGCCAAATAGTGTTGTTTCAGCTCCTCCAGGGCTGTCCTATCTGCCCCTCATTATCCCCCCCCCCCCCATTCTCATTATCACCGCTTCAGCTCAAACCATGGTTATTTCCTTACTGGACTGCTAGAGCATCCAGCTAACTAGTCTTTCATCCTTCCCCAACACCGAAGATGAGTCAGCAAGGTGAGCTCTAGAATGCGACTTCCTGGTTCAAAACCCAAATCCACCATTTACCAGCTATGTGACTTTCAGCTCGTGTCTCAGGGGTTTTCTTGCTTCACAGAATAATAACTGGCTCATAGGATTGTTGTGATGATGCAAATCAGTTAATTTATAAAATGCTTTTCAACAATTTCTTGGAATATAGTTGCACTTAATAAATGTTAACAACAATTATTATTACTACAATTAATCATCATCATTTCTATACCTATAGCACAGACTCTGTCAGCAGACTGTTTAGGTTTAAATCTGATGGCAAGACTTCCTAATCAGGTTACCTTGGACAAGTTACCTACCCTCTAATTGGGTTTCCTCATCAGCAAAACCGGTGTGCCCACATGGAGTTAATGATAGTCTCCACACCAAAGGGTTTGGTGAGGATTAAAGTAGTTATTGCAATAAAGTGCTTAGGGTGATGCCTGGCACATTTTAAACGCTTGACAAATGTGGATATGTGCATAACTGCTGAATCATTAATAAAAAGCAACAGCTATGTCATTCCCTTGCTTAAAATCACACAAGAGTTCTTCATCAGATACAGCTATTCTTCTCAACATTTTGGAAGATAAGAAACTCTTTTTAACTTAAAAAAATTTTTCAATGACCATCACATAGCATCTGTGTGAGACTTTAGCAACATGGTAGACCCAGCTGATGTGGAGAAGTCCCCTCCTCATCTAAACATGTAAATGTGTTCCAAAAGATATAATGATTTCTAATACATGGGCAAATTCAAAAGAGTAAAAGGAACTTTCCAAGTACAAGAAACTGGGAGCTCCTGCAAACCTAGAGCAGACTCCATCACTGCTCCCTGGAGTATATTTCCAGATACAGACCTTAGGGCTCAGAACAGGGACTTTAACACCCACCCTGGGACAGGTGAAGAAACCTCTTATGTGAGCAAGGTGGAGAGCTGAAACGAGCCATTTTTTTAAAGCCTGGAGTCATGGAGTGCTACGTAGGCCATGAAAAGAAGAATTAAAAATCCCATTCACCAACCTGGAGAAACAGCAATGCAACCTCCCATGTGCCTTCAGCTATGGGAGAGAAAACATCTCGGGGAGGAAATTAAAACCTTAGGCTTATGCCGTGAGTATATGTAAGGTCCAAATTTATATTATTATCTATGTGCTATGGAAGCCCCAAACTGAGAAACTAACATATAAATTTTGACTTATAAATTTAACATATAAATTTATTTATAAATTTCTAATATAAATTTTATATAAATTTATTTATATAAAATTATTTATTTTAACATATAAATTTTCATATGAAATCACAAGAAATCTGAATGAAAACTGCTTTGTAGGGACAATTGCACAACCCAAGGGCCATATGGACCCCCTCCACACACACATAGAAGAAAACACAAAGACCTCATGAAAGCACACAAGAAAAAAAGTATTATCATAGGTACAAAATTAGGACCCCCAATAACTGAACATTAAGAAAAAGACTAGAAAATAAATGTGTTAAAAATTAATAAAAAATTTTAAAAGACATACATCATAATCAAAGAACAAGAGATTTAAAAAACATTTTTAATAACAAACTTTTAAAAATTTCTCAAAACTAAAATTGTAGCTGTTAATGTATTTTAAAACAGTGACTGTGTTAAATAGCATAGTAGACATAGCTGACAAAAGAATTAATGAGCTGGAAAACAAATTTAAGAAAGTCACTCAGAATGCAGCCCCCAAAAAATTAAAATAAAGAGATAAAATTAAAAAGGAGTTAAACAACAGAGATAATGCCCATATTCATTGAATAAAGATTTCACCAATTATATTTGAAGAGAAAATAATTGATAATTTTCCAGAATTGAAGAAAACTGTAAGGGCTCAAATTATAGAAATGCCCCAATTCCCAAGCAAATAAAAACAAATTCACACTTAGACCTATCTGAATAAAATTAGAAAACTTGGAAACAAAGAGAAAATCTCAAAAGTAATTAGAAAGAAAAGAGACATTACTCACAAAGGAAACCCAA